AGAATCTTTTTCACTTGAAGCAGGTCAGTAAACGTCACACAGCTCGACATTAAATGACAAGCTGTGATCGTGATGTTAGAGCGATGCCCTGCAGTCTTACGTCTGGTAGATGTTGTGCAGCTGTTGGCTCAGACTTAGGTGCTTGTTGTGAAGGTAAGCAGCCATTTCAGCCACGACCGCCGCCGAGCTCACGCCGTCCTTATCCAGGACTGCGTCCCCACAGAGGAACCCTGAAGAGATGAAGGGACACCTGACAGTTTCCCTTCCAATAATCAAACAACCATCAAAGGGCCTTTATACTGTAAAGGACTGTGCAGCAACACAGGGAGCTGCTCTGTTGGTGCAGGGCACTGAAGATGATCACAGTGGGTGTATTATCCTTAAACTGTGATGAAGTCTACTCCCCACTGCTGTGTAATCAGATACTTTAAATTTAAATCAGACAGGAAACACTGCTAACTGTTCAGTTTCCACGCCAAACGTCACAGCGAACTTAGTTACCGATGGACTCCTCGAAGGAGAAGATGACTCTGCTTCCTGTTTGGGACAGCTCGTGGATTCTGTTCCCGACCCATTTGAAGCCCGGCAGAGTTTCCTGTTGAACACAGAGGAACCATCATCGTCTTACTTCCAGACACTGGTGTGCTCGCTAATGCTCGAGCGTCTGACCTCAAAGTGGAACCCCTCGACGCGAGCGAAGGCCTGCAGGATCTTCGAGGACACCGTGGTCGCCAACATGCAAATGCTCCGAGCGTCTGCCGGTTCAGAGTGGTTCTCCTTCCACGTGAAGAACATCCACCAGCCCAGCAGGGCCGCCAGCTCGTTACCTGTAAACACCTTCCAGCCACACCTGAAACACAGGTAAACTAGACCAGGTGAACCTGCAGCGCTGCCAAATACTTTCAGCTCTGAAGTGCCTTTGAGCAAACATACCCGTCAGACTTCTCTGCTACAGCCAGCCGGTCAGCATCAGGATCCGTCGCCAGGACGACGCGGGCGTTTTCCCGCTCTGCCAGAAGGAGAGAAAGTTCCTGGAAAACAAGACATCGGATGAGCGAACGACAGGATTCAGTCATTTGTGAGCGAACGAGACGGGAACCCGACCCACCAGCACGGACTCTCCCTCCTCGGGGTTGGGGCAGCGCACCGAGGAGAAGTTGGGGTCGGGGTCTTTCTGCTCCGGGACGGCGATCGGTGGAGGGAAGCCGAACACCCGGAAGGCCTGCTGCACGAAGGCGTGGCCGACGCCGTGGAAGGAGGAGTGGACGAACTTCAGCGGGGAGCTGCTGTTCAGGTCCCTGAGACGCATCAGGAAACATGTTGGTGCTCGGGGTCATTTTAAAGGTCAAAGTTCAACATTTTCTGACGTCCTTATAGTTCACATCCTGGCAGAACATCAGGGGAACGTGTCACTCTTAACAATCACGCCGTGAAACATAAAAGAGCAGGTCCGACCACCTCACTGTGACATCACCACGTCCAAGCCAACAACGCCAACGATAGCGTCACTGATTTTACACTTAAACCTGAAAGAAATGATCGTTTCCGCTGTAAACGCTCAGCAGTGCAAACAGCAGGTGGTCTGACGAACTGCAGACTCATGAAACACCTGAACTCATCACGCTGAAACCTCGCGCTCAGAAACAGCGTCCTGCGTTTTCACTCAATCACTGCTGGCAAACAGCTGACATCAGCAGAACAACACAGGCTGTGAAAATGAGGAAACTAAATGACTGTTCACACGAGCAGGCATCTACTAATCAGAAGGTTGGTGGTACAATCCCTGATGCCCAAATGCCCTTAGGCAACATACTAACCCCAGGTTTCTCTGTGGCAGGGCTCGCAAAATCGCTAGCCCGACGTCCCGGGGCTAGC